TCAGGTCACTTACGCTAGGTACGATGAGAGTTTTGGAACATCGGTAATTACATGTTTTGTTACTGTACTTGCGAAGACGTAGAAAGGTACCTAAATAACGACGATCATTTTACATAAACCATAATAAATTGAGGCAAGACGAAAGCATTTTTTTTTACTAGTATTGGATGACTACTATTAGACGTAAAAACTTATACCCTTACTAATTTAGGAACAGCATAATTCACTTACAATAGCTAAAAATATCTGTGACATTAGTGAAATATCTGTAAAATTACTGATAATGTTCTAGTACTTACTTGATGTTTAAATTTATAAACGTGGTATTTTTTTTTCGAAGTTTTGTAAAAACAGCTTTAGCGATTACAGAGATAGACCAATCGTTGGCGCCATTTCGTAAACAAATAGAAATAAGTGCTGTGTAAGCGGAGAGTTAATATGCTAAATTAACTTAACGATTAAATCAGCCATCCTATTTTTAGTTTTAAATGACATGATCATTGTAAGATCAGTTGATTGTATTATATATAGGTATAATTTTATACGCGTGGTATAGTTTCTTTGAGCAGAATAATTTTTCTTTTAGAATACTTCCTTTTTTATTTATTTATGAGACAAAAAGTCATTTCAAATTTTATTACAATACATACGAAAAAGACATCGAGTGTCACTAAATTACTTCATAAATCAAAAATTAAATGTCTTTAATAAATATGCACCCGAAAGTCAAAGAGAAAGTTGCTACCAAATGACGTTTAACCACAAAAAAACAATTTAAGGTGTTTCAAAGACTATTATCAAGAAAACTTCTCTAATAATTCACTCAAAATAGAAAAGAAATTGCAAAATACTCTGATTGAAGTTACATAATCATCTGCACTATTGCTCACACTAGTTTATTTAAGAAGGAGCGACAGAGACATAAAGTGGACGACTACGTGTATTGAGAAACTCGGGTGTCCTATGTGTCAGTAAGATTCTGCAGATTAATTACTTTGAAGTTTTATTATTTATTTCATAAAGCAGTGTTATTTTCACGAAACGATACAATTCGGACTTTGATAATGATAATAATAATCAAAATTTGTCGCTAATTTTAGTGTTAATGATAATTAAATAAAGGTTAGTTGTAAAGGAAACGTTTAATAATAAATAATATGTTTTTATAAGCCTGACAATTTATTAATAACTTTGTCTCAAAGTAGGTAATCACTTTTAATATTATGGCCTAGTTTTTTTTGTAACTGTGAAAAGCGTAAATAAAATTGTAATAATTAGTAAATACTTTAATTAACAATTTCGTCAGTAAATTGGTGGTAATATGTTACTTTGAAAATTTATTGTTTAATTAAATAAAATAAAAAAATTACGATTTTGTATTAGGTAGGTCACTAAAACAGATTTTGAGGTCGTGGAACCCTTAATCGGTAAACTTTTGATTTAGATACATTGGTGTTGGAGTTGCTATTATTACATATGCAGTTTTTGTCATTAATTCAATCGGAGAGGTCCGAGACCAGCATTCTCGTGAGTTTTCAGAGTTTAGAAGGTCTATTTACGTTTTCGTTCCTTCAGGACTTGGTTTGTTTTTCGTACTCATTCTGTTTTTGTGCGGTCACTTGTTGCCGACTTCCATCGGAAGAAGTTAAATCATTTCACTTAATGATTGAACTTCTTCCGCATATTTCAAATTTTAATTTTCTGAAAAGTCAACGTGTATTATAGTTTTATGTATGTTCAAATTATTTTTAAGTGATTTGATTACTTTGTATTGATTTAGAATTTTGTGGACATGATCTGTACTTTGGCAATTCTGTTTCGAGTTTAGAAATGGCTTCTGAACGTTTCATTACTATTTTCCTTCTTTCTTTTAAAAAAAATTACCACCGTAATTCCATTTTCTAAAAATATTTCTTATTTTATTTTGTTCCATTGAAAAATATTAAAGTCAATCTCATTATTTAAATTTTAACAACGAGATCCATTCTGCACAATTTTGACACATTCTCTGCAAGCATTCTGTGTTGTATGGATCGCAACACAACGTGTTCAATATATTTTCTGGTGCCTTTTCTTTTATAATGGATGCCTTACTCATGGCACTTAGCAACAAATCCATAGTCACATGAGTAGCACACATGCATGTCTCTATTAGCTGGTTTAGGATGCAATACCCAGAAAGGCCGGTTTTTGCAAAAAAAATTGTAATGAATTTTATGATTAGTTTCATTTTTATTTTTTTTATATAAATCACTAAACGGAGCTGTTAGGTATAGTTTTTATTGACATATTTTATCGCTTATAATGAATTCTTTTTTTCCTGCAGTAACTGTACCATTGGCGTCCTCACAATAAAACAAAATTATTGTTTTTTTAATGTTAGATGTACGATGCGCACTTGTGGATTTAGGTGACAAATTAAGTCTTAATCTTGGTGTCGTCAAGTTTTTTTTGTAGGCTGTGTATCTTTTTACACTGTGATGCATTTTCCTTTTTTAATGCGTCTATTATAGAAATAAGTAATTTTCTTTTTTTTAATTCTTTGTATCTTATTTTTCTAATTGCGCGTTGCACTGCTGGACATGTTGCATGTTGCAAGGGATCTTCTTCTTTGAGAACACTCGGACCTTCTTTAGGGAAAGTGTCATCCAGGATAATTAAGTTAAGATTTGCTTGTTTTCTCTCTCGGTACTTTCTAGAGTTTTCTTTCCGTCTTCTTCTTTGTTCTCTTTGTGACCGAAGAGTTTTATCTTTTAATTGGACAACCTTTTTCTCTTTTTTTCTTTTAAGATATTGATGTCTTCGTTTTTCTTTTTCGATGTCAAGCAGCTCTGGATCGTTTTTTATTTCGTTATAGCGTCTTCTTTTACACATGCGCTGTTTTGCTAATCTTTGATCTTTCGTTTGAGCATTTTGCTGTAAGTAAAAATATTAAAGTTTTGGAACGGTTTAACGTTTTTCAATTTCACAAATCTGTAAGTATTCAGTTGATTTTTTAAGTTATATACAATGTCAAATTTTGTCGTAATTACTACATACCAAACAGGCGATAAGGTAAACTGAGATTGGTGAAGTTGGGTCTTTAAATCATCACAGCATCCAATAAAACATATTTATATAGTTAAAATAATATATTCTTATAGATTAAAAAAAGGTAAATAAAGCGGCTAAGTCTGTTAAAAAGGAATGTGTTACGAAATATCAAATTGACGGGGCGGGCATAACTTAAATCAAAACCAATAATTGTCCAATAGGATAATAACGCCATAAGACACGATTAAGAGTGCAGATAATATACAGACACTAGCTTTCCGTCAGTGGATTCGCCCGCGTGGTCTTGTATTATACATAAAAACCTTCCTTTTGAATCGCCCTATCTATGAAAAAAACCGCATCAAAATCCATTGCGTAGTTTTAAAGATTTAAGCATACATAGAGATATAGGGGCTGAGAAAGCGACTTTGTTTTATACTATGTAGTAACACTTCAAGACTTAGGATTAATTCTCTTTTTATAAGTCATTATAATTAATTCAAATATTAATATAATATATAAATTAAATTCCCTGAAACGTTATGAGAAAATCTGTAGGTATTCTACCAAAAATCATTTTTCACAACGCATCGTCATTATAACCAAGGTGAAAATCATTATGTAAAACTCAGTGTCATTCTTCGCAACATCAAGTTTCCCATAATGATGTAGCATAGAATGACGAGTTGAAAAAAATAACCTACACGATCTTGTTTGTGAGTGAGAGAATGGGAGTAAAAATAATAATAAATGTAAATAAAAAGTATATTAATAGGTGTAATCCAAAAAATGTACATCCTAAACTATTTCCATGAATTACATAATTAGACAGGTTTGAAGAACAACCCTAGTAAATTATAGACTATGTGCAACGCATATTCAGTTGTCTCCCATAGATGAAAGACTCATAAATCGTTCCAATAGTTTCGGCCTATCTAATGCAAACAAACGAGTAAACAAATTTTTTCTCTTTATAATATAAGTATAGAATTATTGGAAAAAATTATGCCCAGCAAATAAACAAAATCTTCAATTCTAAGACTTTCACTATGTTGAATATTTTTATTTATATAGGTATTTAATATTTTTTGGTGTTACCTATTAAATAAAAAGATATCAGTATCATTAAAAAGCATGAGATAAATACTTAAAAATAGAACTGACCTCAAACTTTAAAAAATGATACTTCATTATTTATCATCTAGTATTATTAAATGTTAGCGCCCTTCATTCTTTTAACATTTGAAGTCGTTTCTTTTTTCTTTAAAGCTGTTGTTCTTCTAAGCGTGTCCTTCGTAGAATAATCGACCGTACTAACTACTAATAGAGTCGAAAGCGAAATTATGTGTATACCTAATTATAGCGTCCATTATCAAAACGTTTATGTCGTATCTTCTCTTTTTATTTTAATCAAAGCTAAAAACATTAGAAGTGAAAGTTGAAGTATGAACTATTCAAAATAGTGTATTTCCTGCATATTTACTAAAATCGGTGAATCAAGAATCAAAATTTTGTATAGTAAACATTTCACGTAAACGATCAACTTCAGTAGACCTCTAATGAAATGAAATGTGATGTCACAACTCTATATGGGCATGAGTCATGCATGATCATCTGCCCATAATGCTGGATCCCCCTTGTAAAGCCCCAGGTGACAAATTAATAATTATTCTTCTGACTATCTAAGTTTTTAAGGTAAAATGAGTACAAAAACACAGAACTATATAATAAAATAATATATAATAAAATAATTTAATAAAATTAAAATAACATGTAAATGCTTACATGCACCTTAAACTACTTAGGTATTATGCAGTGCATTCAATAATATAACAAAAATACAAACAGGCACAGCGTGATAATTTTTTTGTCTCTGGATACAACATTAATTTGGACTGACATTTTATAGACTGTCAGATATATTTGTGACAATATTATCGTTGGGTGAATAGCATATTTTTTATGATTTAAGAAACAAGGACTTCGTATTCGGGGAAGCTTAATTCCTGGCCTCCAAAAGAGATGTAGCAGACTCCGTGAGATTGCTGAACTTTGCCTGTGGTCAGGCTTCCTTCGTGACGTACTCTGCCTACGAAAAGGGTTTCCCCATCTTCAGACACACCACCAGGGAACGCTCCGGGGGGGATGGCGGATCCGCTTGTTGGTACCCAGTTATTGGGACCTCCGACTAGTACCTGTTAAATTAAAATAGATCAGTTTGAATTCTCTAAATTTGAAGTGATATTATTACTTTTAATGATTGAGTAGTTTTTTCCTTTTTACTGTTAATAGATGGAATTGGTGCTCTAATTTTTTCTATCAACGAATATGTCCACATTTCTGATACCATATGTTAAAGCTGAGCGACAGGTTAAAGGTTATATTTTGTGTCGAACTACTCATTAACATTATTATATTTTGATTGTTTTAGCATTCACAATGCCATACTGAAAATTATTCTTAATACAAAATGCTTAAAAAAATCCACTTGGTCCTTGGCACCCTGAGATGAGAATTGATGAGAATACGCTCTGTAGTAGCGAAAAATAACAAGTGCTTGAAAAATTCGTCAGTCCTGTTAGGTACTGGGTAGCTCAGTGATTAGAGCAGTCGCCCGGATTACTCATTAACAGTCTATTAATATTTTTATCTATATTAATGTCCCTGTTGCTGGTGTAGGAAATCAAAACGAATCGTCTAGGGCAAATGGGTCTTGACCCAATCCAACGACTTAACTTGCCTTCGAAATTATACGGAGGAGCTCGAAATAATCAATTTTTGAAACACCCGAGAAGATTGATTTAATATTATTATCAATTGTCTCTGTAAAGTGAGGTACTTACTTTAGCCAATCAATTTGAAGAATAGTCTTACCTGATATTGAGGTTTGCTATGCTCCAACCCGCCCCAGGGTACAAACGCACAGCCATGAGATTGGAGTAGTTTTCCAGGGATCGTGGCGCCTTCGTGTTGCGCTCTAGCAATGAACAGTGGCTCGCCGCTACAGTCTTGTCCGCCAGCTACAGCTCCAGGTGGTAACTGTCCATTAGCAGCATCTACCCACTGACCAGCTCCTCCCATGGGACCACCAGGGTATCCGGGCGGGCTACTGTACAGAGGGGCCGCTACAGGCGCTGATGGTGGAACTGCAACCAGAATTATATCTATCAATACTATTTTTAGATATTATATGATGTGGTAACGTGCTCTATTCACTTAACTATTGATGAAAAAGCAAAGATTACTAGGCTAGAATTACCCAATCTCAACCAGATTTTAAAAGAGTTCGTTAGTATTTTTCGTTTCACCGTTTGGTTAATTGTGAAAATGTGTAATGACAGTTATTTCAAAGGACAGAATAAATATAAATAAGCTTGTGGGCATGTGCAATGAAATATATAATAAAAAAGATGTCGATACGTAAGTACTCATTACTTTTTCTGGTATAAGCGAATATCATAATTAATCAACATTCCCAACTTCAAAACAATGCCATTGCAGAGATGCATTTAGTAGATAAAATAATATAAAAATCGTATTAAGTACTTAGATTGAACTGTTTCAAAGAAAATGCGCAGAAAGTTTAGGTAAATGAGAAGATAGACAAACAATTAAAACATTCAAAATGTACCCAACGTACCACAAATACTTGTAGTGGTTAACCACTCTTGTTCAGCCAGACTATCCTAATTGGTGCATGAACACTGTATACGCCACTGAGTTCACAAACATGGTTAGTTATTTTTATTAAATATTAAAGTGCAACAGACGGATAACATTTAACATTAGTATTGTAACTTGTTAAACGTTTCTGACTAGGTTTTACGACATGTAAGCAATTAACATTAAAAGCAAAATCATTCCCGTTGATTACAATAGAGACTCAACGGCTGCCTGGTGCGCCGAAGTGCATGATGCGCCAGTGGCCGCGGGCGCCATAGCCCGTGCGTACGCCAAAGTGTGTCACGGGGACCGGAGACGGGTTAACCCACTCCATGAGCACTGCTCCAGAAGTTCCATCCCTTACAAGCAGTCTGCCACATTTCCATTCGATCAGAAATTTCCTAAACTCGTTGGGATTCATAATTCCTGGCGTCGGTAATATTACCTACGAATTTTTAGTTAATAAGTAGTAATACACTCGGATTAAAACAAATAATGCACGACATGTTTGATCGTACCTTGTCAGGTTTCTCTCTGCAGTATCTAATGACTGACTGGGTGTTCTCCCAGCCTCCAAGTATGATTTCGTACATAGGATTAATTTCCGCTGGGGCGGGTGTCAGACACAAGTGTGCATTATGTGGACCACGGTATTCAAATTGGAGGGAGCCCGCAGCTACCGGTCCGAATTTGTACTCTAACTTGTCTGGTGTATCAAATTCAGCACCATCTGCACCGGTAAAATATGATAAAATTTTGATCAAGCGTTGGGTACATTTTGTTCATTCTTAACTATTATACATACCTTCGATTTTCCATGAGCCTGAGGCACCCCAGCCTGTGCAGACTCCTACGAAAGCTACAGGGAATGGCTCCGGGTCTGTCCAGGACACAAATGGGATGACTTCTCCTTCTCGGCCGGCGGAAACGACGCCGCCATCCCAACGTACCCAAAAACCACGGAATTCCCCACTGTTGAGAATACCAGGTGTATCAGCCTCGACTTTATCAGGTTTGGTACGGTTCCTTCTGATTACACTTTTGCTATTACCCCACCCACCGATAAAGACCTGAAATTTAAAAGAAAACATATTTTTAACTGTTATATTAACGTATGAAAAATATGTTTTTATAACGTAAAAACGTGAGATCATCGTAAAATAAACAGTGATAAGTTTGACATACAAAGTTGAGAAGGACAAGCCTTTATGATGTAATAAAATCTGAATATGAAATGAATTCTGATTGAACTATGTATAATTTCAATTACCTCATACATGGGGTCTGATTCTTGGGGTCCCATAGTGAGTGCCAAGTGAGCATCATTGGCTGCTCGCACCTTAAATTGAACGGAACCCGATGATACTGGGTAGAACTGGTACTGGAGGTTGTCCTCCGTTTGCACATCTGAAAAATTAAAATTGTTTATTTATTATTTTACCGATTGTGAATAAAACAAAGTAAAATAAAACTTTACAAGACTAAACTCTTTTATATTCAGTGGGCGATCGTAATATGAATTCAAGGCCTCTCCTTGATTCTTATTATATACATCGTTCGCTTTCCATTTGGGGCAGGTCTCTTACTTAACAGTGAGTCTAAATATAGGTTAGTTCGCATGTGGGTATGTTTAGTGACGTGAGCAGTTACTGAGGTGTTCTTTCCATTGCTTCACGAATACGCATTTATTATGAAATGTTTGAAGTAATCGAGCAATGGATTTGAGTAATGTCATTTCGATATTATTCGAACAAGATGTAGGTTGGACGGATGATATCATCGTTTTGTTGTGTGCCCGGCCGTAACTCATGGCCATACTGATTCAAATCTTGTAAAATTCTTGTAAAAGCAATAAATGAAGCAAAGAAAATAAGAATACATATGAGAAGAGTTCTTTGCACTTGGCTATTAGTGGCAAGTCTTTTTTTTACTAGATTTATAAAGAAAAGACCTGTCAAATACGAGTCTGGCTCGCGGACTAAGGGTACGTACCGGAAACTTGCCAAATAACCATTGTTGTGTTGGGAGGCCCCTTATATATTTATTTTATTATAAAATAAATATATAAGGGGCTTATAAATTTTTTTAAGTTATTATATAAATACGTATTCTGTAAATATTGCAAGCGTCTTAAGTTGTCGTTATGAATTTTGAGCAAGAACGAGCAAAAATCACGTTTGTTGTATGGGAACCACCATTAATATTGATTTATTCTGGTTTTTAGTTTTGTTCTTGTGGCGGCAACACAATCTGTGAAAATTTCAACTGTCTATTTTCATGATATACCTACAGCCTGGTGACAGACAGCTTAGTCTTAGTGATAGGGTTCCAGTTTTACCATTTGGGTACGGGACCCTAAAAATCTATAAAATCGTAAATAATGTCTAAATACAAATCGTAATAAAAGGTTAAAATTAATGTACTAATTGCTAAAAAGTATTTAAATATCATTCATTATTTTATGTAAGTTGTATAGGTTATTGAGCACGAGTTGAGTATATGGTAGCTATGGTATGGTACTTTTGTACTAAATTAATATTTTAAATTTTTATCCCACTGAACATTTCCCTACGAACACGCGGGCGAAGCCGCTGGCGTAAGCTAGTTGTGTTTAAACTCTGTCCAGTACTTTTTGTGAAAGAGTAACGAACTTACATACATCCATCCTCACAAATTTTCGCATTTGTAATATTAGTAGGATAATATTGATGTTGTATTAGGTAATTAAAATAAATACTACTAATATATAATAATAGAGCTATTTGCTAATAAGTATATTTATTTATCAGAATTCCGGTTATGTTGAAATAACATTAGGTAGGTGAGTACCTACATAATTTGCTTACATAGACATCACTACGATTGTTTTCGAATTTCCTGAAAATATTGTTAAGGTCAACAGCGCAGTGGTAAGCTCGTTCGATCTGAGAACTTTTGCAAGGGCCTTTCATAGGATGGGTGACTAAAAATTATTATGTCATTCCTTCTTGTTTCTGCTATTTGTCCCGGCTACATCTGCAGTCGTTAACATCCACCAATCCACACTGGGCTCGCATGATCCATTCTTGATATTCGTTTCGATTCCACCCAGTGAAGGCCTATCCCCAGAAGTGGGACATTAACATGGCAATTATTGATATTGTACAAACTGTAAAATATCATATGAAAGGCTAAATGAATTGGACGAATTTGATATTGGTTTTTCATGGTAAAAAGTAACAGTTTGATCAATTCAAAAACACATTAACGAGCTCTGTTGTGACATGAACGATTGACAGACAAACCAACACGTTTTCCAGTTTATAATAGTATTAGCTGATCCAGGAATGTTTGTGTCATGTAGTTTTACTGGATAATCAAAGCGCTCGTTTACTATTCTCCTCTCAATTTTTTTCCAAGAAGTTTCCTCAGACTTTATTCAGTGATTACTTGTTTCGTTGATCAATGTTTTTTATTCAGTCGAGAGAGTAATGTACAAAATTATTGTATAATAGGTAGGTCAAGGTATAAGAATGATATCATTGGATCAATTAAATTCAATCTGCGGCATTCTTGGCGCAACGGTCACTTTATGAGTGAAGGTAATTTAGTCAGTACCAAAATCAAATTATTCGAAAACATTATGCGATTCATAGCCTGAAGTACATATTTTTTATTGTTCTACTGAAAGACTAATCGCTTAAAAATGTGTAATTTATAAAATACCCACCTACTTCATTACTATAAATATTTATTTTGTATTGATCCGTTTAAATTTAGGTACCTATAAAACTTCTTAATTAAGTTTACTTATCAATACGCGTTAATAGGCATACATATAAGCTTCCAACTGATTTAAGCACAGTTAGAATGATCTTAAAATGATGAAACAAAATCGATAATCAATAATCTTGTAATGCAAGGGAAAATCACTATAGGTAACTACCTACTTAATAACGTTAAGTAAATGCAATAGTTAAGAAATCCTTGACAATAATGTAGTATCAAGCGTTGATGATGTCATGTCTAAATAATTACAAGCTAAATAAATCTGATGTCACTTTGTAGTATTACGGTACTGTAACATTGCAATGTTTTCCTAGTAACAATTTTATTTTTGTAATGCACGATCGAAAGTAACCTACAAGAGAGAGAAAAATAAACGTAAGTATTTATTTATTGATTAAAAATAAGTTTGTATGCGGCAACACCACGCCTCGATTTTGGACGTTAGCCAGGAAAACGCCGGCTAGGTATTTCAAAGTGCGTTCCGTCAAAAATGCCGCATTTGATTTGAATACTTGTTTAATGTTAATTTCACTGATCAAAGACTTGAAATAATAAATACATAATTATACTATTTTCTAATTAATTTTTCAAAGAGAGAAAATACATTTTTTTTATTTCAATTATAAATTAAAAAAAAGACTTACCCATAACGTTGGACATTGTTGCAAAGTTTTCGTATGTACACCGATCGAACTTGGATCTTGCGTTCGTTCAAGCGGAATGCTGCCTCAGAACTGGGGACGGCGTACCAACCACGTAATGTCCACATCCCACGGCCTCGGCGCCGACGCGTCGCACCGACCGTAACATAGATGATGTCATACTTAGACATCTCAGTAATTTGTACTTCTTACTGTAAGTAATAGAGTTCAAATCTTCGTTCATATTTATATCTACTTACTGCGTTTCGTTTTTGAAATTTTAAGACTTACAAACTGGCTGAATCGCTAGCTTTGTATACTTATGAGAAGCTAAGGAATTGCAAATGTCCACCATTATTGATGATGTTTTGTCACTATTTACTAAGTAAGTACATAGATAAATTTTAACACATCTTGTTAGAAAGAAAAGGTGTTAAAATTAGATCCAGTCTGTCAAACCTCGAGATTATACTACGTCGGTCAAGGTCTTGTTTTGTTACATAACTTCTGGCTTAACTACCTGCCGGTCTGTGGTCGTTTCGATCCTATAGGTCATAGATAAGATCTACTCCGTTTCAAAAATACAATTTTATCTATTATCTAAATTATGATTTATGATGCAACGAATAATTAAAACTTCCTTCTCGAATTACTCTGTATATTGTTGAAAACCGTATAAAAATCCATTGTGTAACTGTAAACAGTCTGCAGCGGGAAACGTTTCAGGTATTTTGTGTATAATCCTTAAGACATTTATCCAGAAGCTTGTTGAGGAATTTTATTACTATATTAAGTTAACCAACTTCAAAATCGAAAAGGAGCAGGTTATGTTCGACGGCGATGTATTTTTTTTTATGTATTTTCCGCGTTTTGTTGATCGATTTTCAAAATTCTTTTTTATTCGACAGCTTAATGGACCGCAATGTCCCATTTAAATTTCATCGATTTGGAGGTCACTACCAGTTGTAAAATTTTAACAAAAAAAAAAGAATGTATGACCGCTTAGTTTACAGTTTCACTTATATTTCCAAAATATGTCACTAGTAAAATTGAATAATTATTGAATTCAAAATTGATCAGGGCAAATACAATATAATGATCAGAACAAATTTTGTATATTAATAGAATGTTCAAAATATTTGTAAAAATATTTTTTGGGTGGATTGTCTATACGCTCATCATCAACAGCCTTTTTACGTCCCCACTGCAGGGGCTCAGGCTTTCCATATGGATGGTTAAAGAGGATGGGCTATGACCCTCCAAGCTAGCCCGATGCGGATTGGAGGATATTAACGACTGCAAATGCAGCCGGGACTAACGACTTACGTGCCTTCCGAAGCACGAAGTAGCTCGAGATAATATTTTATTGGTCAGTAGCGTAAAGTAACAAGTACTTGAAAAATTCGTCAGTTCTGCTGGGTAGCTCTGTGGTTAGAGTAGTCGACCGCATTGCCAAAGGTCGTGGGTTCGAGTTTCATCTCGAGTGGGTGGATTTTGTAAGCCAATATACATTATGAATGTAAAATTGATCAAAATGATTAATTAAAAATATTATTCAAATCCGGCAAAATCTAAAAAATAAAGAACATTTGGAATAAAATTGACCAAAGCGACTACAAAACAATGAGGAAGTATTTAAAAAAAAACATTCGTTTCCGAAATCAAACTAGAACTACAGTACTTTCTTGATTTCTCCATGACAACCATTCCTGTTTTATTTCGTGTATTAAATTAGTTTTCAATACTCAATAAATAACTCATATTCTATTTGAAATTTCTCGTATTTGTATTGATATGTAAGTTTCGAACTTTGCAAATTTCAGTTTTTTTAATATTATAGTTAAAAGAAACAGAAAAGAATCTTTGGTCCATTCGTTTCCTGCAATAATCAACTTTTGCTAGAGTCGCCATCTAGTGGAGGTGCTTTTTTGGTGCTTTCTTTTTATTTTTAAATACTTTCTCATTGCAGATGACACCGACGTAAAAATCCTTGCAGATGCATTTATTTATTCATATTTTTTTCTATTTATTAACGAAGTAAACAAACATAAATAACAGTTTAGGATAACATCTAATAACTACAGAGGTTTAATTTGTGTTATCATAATAATAAGAAAAAAAACAGTAACTGAATATTATTTCAAACATTTTTAAGATTTCGCGCCAAAAAAACGACTGCGATTGGGTTAATATGTCGGCCTATTTCAATGAAAAGAAGAAATTTGAGTTTTGTACGCCTGACGGTCAGTTGCGCAAACGTCCATTAAGGTTTAAGGACGCCTTTAAGCTCTATGAATTATGAATGTCAAATTTGTATGGGTAATGTCGTTTTAAACTAATGAAAAATTAAATGGACATTTGTGCAACTGGTTGTGAGATATCCGAGTCTAGTTTCGAAAAACTAGCCTAGCCAACTTTGCTATTTATTCTTTAATGTGACAGTGTCGCTGCCACAGTCAAATAAAACTATTAATACTCTTTGAAGAAGGGCTGTGCTAAGCAACTAGTGCCTCATTCGAATTGTTGTCTGGTCTGTCTATCTGTATGACTTTTCTAGTCTAGTAAGCCTATTAACAAAGGTACTTAGTAGTAATTTCTCTATACACTGGACTGCTAACTTGGCTTAAAAAGCTAGCCTCATGTCTCTTGGGCATTACTGGTCCCTGCCCACCTTCGTAACTAATAAATAATTCATTTTGTTCTTCGTTAGGTGCCAGCTTATTTTTAGGAGTAATTTTATTTATTTAAGTTTAATATTATTAATTTTAATTATTAATTGTATTTTATTTATTTTTCATTATACATTTTTTTTGTTGATGGCATTATATAGTAATCTTATCTATATTAAAATTATAAAGAGGAATGTTTTGATTGTTTCATAAAAGCAGTCTATTATAACCCTAATATAGTTTATAAGTAACGAGTCAGTTTGTAATTTTATGATGACAAATAAATTATGCCAATCAAACGAAATTTTTGTAGTATCTCAAAAGCACAAGTAACAAGAAAACTAACATTTTCAGCAAAAAAATTAAAACTTTTCAGAGATACTTAATCCTACGCTTTTGTGTTATTTTTCTTAAAATTATGCACCTTTTTCTTAAAATTTAATATTTGACTAAAACTATTTTCTCTAAATTTCTGGAATATTCTGTGCAAACTAATTAAAACAACTAAAGCTACTGGAGAAACACTAGATTTGTCAATTGTCTGACCATAAAGATACAACCACATACAAAAAGTTTTTTCTGTGTATACGACTAAATGCAATAGACATTTGAATTCTTCTACTTTTATAAATTTCATAAGTGCTTGTTACAGCCAAGACGGAATAGATGAATTTAACTTTAACGTTGAAATATAAACATCTAAAAAAGTCGAAAGTCATGTAAAAAGGCAGCGGATAAGACAATGTAAATAATTACGAGCTACGAGTAAAATTCATATACCAAATCGAACATTCGGATAAACTAAAATCTATATTCGGAAAAACCACGTCAACATTCAGATAATTAAGGTTTTGGATAATCTAATATACTTTCTTAATTATAAGTTAAACGTCTATGATAGTAATGGAAAAGAAAAATAAGTAATTAGTTAACTAGGATATGGTTATCGAAGCCAAAGTAAGTATTTTTTGATTCTATAATGAGTGAGGACAGATAGAAAGTTAATAGCATAAATTATCTATTAATGAACTTATACTACTACATATACGTTAGGGAGAATAACTATATTATAATTAAATTATGTAAGTAATATTTTAATCAAATTTACATAAATGACACATTAGGTAATTATATATGTAAAACTTATATAATGCGCGGCGAATAAGTTGAATCAAAACCATAGGATACGATGTCATATTGATGCTATAGTGGTCTTTTCGTCTGTTTACACTACTGTATCTTTTGATGGATAAACCACTAAGTTGTTTTATCCACGTTTGTACACTGCTGGCAAGTCCAACTTCTTCGACTGAGACCCGAAAATTTGCTTTTGCGTAACGCGATTTTGGTTCAATTGTCGTGCCGCTTACAACGTTATCTTAGAAACTAGTATGTTCTTCATAAAAGGCTTTAGGGAACGGTAGGTTATCCAGTCACCACTATAACCTTGAGTCCTCGAGACGGCTGTTCTGGTTGTTATGATCAATAGTTGTAATAGTATTATGAACTATCATCAGTGTCAGTCTCAAAACAGGCTGCCTCTTCAAGAACAGTCATAATTTTAATTTTAGTTGACATTTTTCTTTGGGGTGGCACTTTTTTTAATGAACTAACTAAAGACAGCATAAATAACCTGTCTTCATCTTGACTTCCCATCTCATGTCGTTTTCTTGTTTTAATAATTTTATCAAGAGCTTCTAAGAATTTGTCATCTTCAGGTGCAGTCTCTTTTGTTTTTGGTCTTTTAGCGAAATTTATCATTTGCCTGTCTTGCTGTGACTCAGAATCAGAATCTGTAGCGGTAACTTCAGGCTCTCTTAATGCGACAACCTTTTGGAGAAACAAGAGTTGTTTAAAAAACATATATTCACTTTTACGTGGTCCACTACTAGTCCCGGCCTTCAAAGATTTTTGGCGGTTGAGTTCTCGTGTGAAACATCCACGTATACTTTTCCACCTTTTTTGCAAAGTGTCAACTGAAAATAATAAATAATATAAGTAAATCGTTCTATCACAAAGCGCAATAATTTATGAAATTGTAGCGAATAAAAATTTGAAAAAACCTGAAATGTTAGATTTGTTATCTTTACTTCAGTATTTTAATTAGTGGATTTACATGTAGCAATATACTTATATCTTTAAGCAAACCATTCATGGGTGACATAGACAATAATTTACGTGGACGAAAGTTGCGGGAAAACACAAAGATTTACACAAATACATCGTTGTCTAGCTAAATCAGGTATCACCATTGTAATTAAAAAGTTTACTTTTATTAGCATATTTATCAAGTTATTGATACTCCTTATTATCGATACCCTCTTTTATTGATAAAATTTTGCATTAATCA